TGCGCTTCACAACAGCTGATCGTCGGAGCGAACCGGTTCGCTCCCAGCCGATCGTCGGAGCTATCGATTCACCCGGACTGTGCCGAACCAGTAGAATCCCACCCCTGGTGGCATCCAACCATTGGCTTGTCTCCTAAATGGGAGACTGAGAAGCCACGATATAGACAGGCATTTGAAATCGTTTCCCCCTTTCCAGAAGTCCTCAAACGAAGGCGAACAGTTTCAGTGGCCTTAAGCCTTCGTTTGCCTGGCCTTCCGCTCGGCCAGAATTCCTGTTAGCCATGATTGGTTGGGAACAGGCTGACGTCAGCGACCCCCATTGTGTCTGAAGGCCGCGGTTTCCACCCTTGAGCAGGTCTCTTGGCTTTTCCAAAGTTAGCTTCCAATCATGGCTCTTGTGCCAAATTTTTCCCCCGAAGGCCTTTTTTCTACGTCTTGTAAATAACCTCCCTTCCAACATTTGTATCACTAATTTATTTTAGTATATTACTGCTATTTGGACTGCTGAGTGGTGCGGTGGCCTCTAGAGGTGGAACTCTCGCCTCAGAATCAGGAGACTGCGAGTTTGATCCTAGGTAGAGGCAGATATTTCTCTCTCTCGGCACAATAAGGATATATCTGCCGAACGAAACTCCACATTGGCAACAGGAAAGGCCTCCAGCCATTCTAGCTCCATTCAGTTTGCCTAGACTCCACCCCCGCAAGGGTCATTAAAAGATGATGACGACTGCTATTTTGATTCGTTTAACTTCCGGGCCCTTAAATCTCGGCCTGTCTCGTAAGGAAAATGTGTCACAACCCTTCTACCTGGTTCGTATCCCTGTGGTTTGTTTGTTTTTTGAAGCAGAAATGGCGGTGGGAAGGATGGTGGTTGTTGTTGGTTTTTTTGACAAAGCCTTATGGGTTTTTGTTTGTTTTTGTACTGCCGAATCACATCAGTTTAGTTCGGAGGTTAAAGCTGCCAACGGGCTGCCGCAGATCGTTTTACACAAAATAAACCAAGCTGGACTTCTGATCTCAAAAGTCTCTTCCTTTTTTTAAAAATAGAAAAGAAATTAAGCTAGAAACCTGGAGTCAATACACAAAAATTACATGCATGGCCAAGAAAATGTATGAGAAATGAGAATGAGAAATTCTGTCGAAACTTTGCACAGGTACAAATAAGTCCCTGACTTACAACAGTTCGTTTAATGACCGAAGTTATCACACCACTGAAAAAAATGGCCATTTTTCCACACTTAGCGACCGTTGCAGCATCTCCGTGGCACCAGCCACGTCTGTTGTGATTCACCGGCAGCCTGTGCAGACGGCAGCAGAATCAGACGGTGGGGAAGAACGGGGACCGGTCCGGGAGTCTGGGGAGGGCTTGGACTAGGGTCCTGCGTCCAATGCAGAGATGGGGCCAGGACCATCTGGGAGTGGGATGCTGACTCTGGAGCCTCCAGAGTCTGGCAGCAGTGAGGAAGAGGAATCAGGGGAGCCTGTTCCCAGTGTGCGTATGCGCAGAGCTGCTAGAAGACGAGAGCAGCTGAGACAAAAGGGGCGACTCGGGAGTAAGGCTGGGAGGTGATTGCCCCTCCCATAAGGTATAAAGGAAATGCAAAGGTAGAGAAACCTTTGCAGGAAGCAACACTGTTCGTTCTATTCGGATTAATCCTTGAAGCTCTGTGTGGACTTTGTACTTTGGTTGGTTTTTTAATACTTAATTTGGTACTTTAGTTGTTGGCAGCAATTCAAAGGAGAGAAAGGTGGGTGCTTATCTCGATGGAACTGTTTGGGCTGGGAATGAACATAATTCCCAGCGTTGAAATAAAACGAGTTGTTTTAACTAAGCGAGTGCTTAATTACGGTCTCAGGAAGACTTGGTCAGGACGACGTCATCAAAATTTGGATGCCTGGCAGCTGACTTAAATATTTATCCTGGGGTCATGCGATCCTCTTTTGCAACCTTCTGACAAGCCAAGTCAATGGGGAAGCCGGATTCACCGAACCACCATGTGACCCCACAACTGTGGTGATTCACTTCACAACTGTGGCAAGGAAGGTCGTAAAAGGGGTCAAAACTCACTGGACTCTCTTGCTTAGCAACAGAAATTTCGGGCTCCGTTGTGGTCGTATGTTCATTGTGGTGCAATGGCCTAGAGGCGGAGCTCTCGCCTCACAATCAAGAGTTCGATCCGAGGTAGAGACAGATATTTCTCTCTCTGGGCCCACTGACAATATATCTGTTGAACAAAACTCTGTATTGGTAACAGGAAGGGCATCCGGCCATTAAACGCTCTGTTAGCTCCATTCAGTTGCCCAACTCCACCCAACAAGGGATTATGGGGTCGTTAAAAGATTATGATTGTGGTCGTATGTTCCTCGACTAAAGCTACAATATGGGATCAAGAGTTTCTGTTGCTTAGTCAGGCAGTCGTGAGTCGCGACTGATTTTACGATCCTTTTTTTTTTTTTTTTTTGCCACGGATGCTAAGCAAATCATTGCAGTAAAGTGAACCGTGCAGTCGTTAAGTGAATCGTGCAGTCATGAAGCAAATCCAGCTTCCCCACAAGATGGCTGGGAACGTCACAAACTACAATCACATGAGCCAGGACACTGGAGCCATCATAAAATCCATAGTTAATTACTATTTGAAGTTACAGCAGCATTGGAGAAAGTCACGACCAGTCATCGCACTTAATGACAGCATCATTAAGGCACATCAATATTCGGGGACTTGGCAATCACCACATGTTTTGACCGCTGGAGCACCTCAAATCACCATTGGTGATCTTTGCACCTGGCTTCCAACAAGGAAAGCCAATGTGGAAAGGCAGATCGGTGTATAATCGCCCAATTCACTTAAACGACTGCAGTGCTTCGCTTAACAACTGTGGCAAAAAAAAGTGAGTCATAAAATCACTTGTGTGTCAACCCTGAAGCTGACCTGACCGAAGCCATCTTGGAAGCTGCAGTGCTGCTACACTAGAGTTGAGGGAGGAGGGATTAGAGATAGCTGGGGTGATGTAGTCAAAACAAAATACTTTCTCTTGAGAACCAAGGTCGTTCCCACACCTAGCCGGAGGAAGGAGTGATGTCGCCTGATCAGCGGATGCCGCCTTGATTGGGCCATGTGACTGTTTGGGGGGGGGAACTTTCTCTTTTAATTAGGGGAAAACCCAAGGGATCCTTTAGAGTTGGTTTTCACCAGATCTGTGCCGATATATTTCCGTTTGTAGAGAAATGGCTTGCCTTGTCAGTGTAATACCTCAGCCAAGCAACTCAACTTCGACAACAGTAAACAACAGCCTAGTCAAGGAACTATCAATGCTTCCAGAAATACTGATAGGGCAAACCACTAGTTTATAAACAGATAGCAACACCCCCCCTTCCTTCTAGCACTGATAAAGTGACCTAGGTTGGGTCATGAAATGTCTGCAAGAAAACAACCAAGCTTAAGTGTTACATCCGTGTATCTGCCATTCTTCAATGGAAGAAGATGGGGGGGTTTGCTACACTTGATCCTTTTTGATGTAACCTTGAATATCTTAATTCTTATATTGAATCTGTATAACTTGCACACGATATACAACTGGGGACTAGAGCCCAAACGCCTGGAAATGTGTCACCTCTTGGAGAAATAGCAAGAGGAGAAGAGGGGGCCATAAAAATTCCAGAAATTCCAAAAGTAACTTCCTGGGAAGCTCTTCTCAACAACATTTCAAAAGTTCATTCTTATCGTCTGAAGGGGGGAGAGAATCTTGGGCCTCACACTTAGAGAGCTCTAAGGACCCCACATCCATCCATCCATCCATCCATCCATCCATCCCTACCTCTCTCTATCATCTATCTATCTATCTATCTATCTATCTATCTATCTATCTATCTATCTATCTATCTATCTATCTCTCATCTCTCATCTCTCCTGTTGTGGGATTCAATTTTGTTTAGTACCAGTTCTGTGGGCGTGGCTTGGTGGGCGTGGCAGGGGAAGGACACTGTAAAATCTCCAGTCAGAGGTGGTATTGACAAAATAAATAAAATAAATAAAAATTTTAAAAAAGTATTGGCCAGTTCTCTGAACTACTCAAAATTTCCACTACCGGTTATCCAGAACTGGTCAGAACTGGCTGAATACCACCTCTGCTTCCATTCTTCCGAGGTCAGTAAAATGAGGACCCAGATTGTTGGGGGCAATGTGCTGTCTCTGTAAACCATTTGGAAAGGGCTATAAAGTGGTATATAAGTGCTGTATCTATCTATCATCTATATCATCTATCTATCTATCTATCTATCTATCTAATCTATCTAATCTATCTAATATCTATCTATCTATCTATCTATCTATCTATCTCTATCTATCTATCTATCTATCTATCTATCTATCTATCTATCTATCTATCTATCATCTATCTAATCTATTTATCTATCTATCTATCTATCTATTTATCTATCTATCATCTATCTATCTATCTATCTATCTATCTATCTATTATCTATCTATCTATCTATCTATCTAATCTATCTAATCTATCTAATCTATCATCTATCTATCTCCATCCATCCATCCATCTCTATCACAGCCTTATCAAGAAAACAACCAAACTCAGAGATCAGTAAGGACTTCACAGTCGTCCACCTCCTCTCCACAACCCCCCCTCCCTTCTAGCACTGACGGTGTTACTTAGACAGGTAATGAAATGTCTACAAGAAAACAACCAAGCTCAGAGAGCACCAAGGACCCCACAAATTGCAGTACCTTCCTCCTGAAAGTACCCCCCCCCCCCCCCTAAATAGGGAAGGAGCAGACCCCCCATGTCTTCAATCCCGGTAAGACAAACAGGGTCTTGCAGAAACCCAACCATAGAGCTGTCATGGTGGCAGACGGGGCACTGCAATCCCTTCCAGAGGGACCCACGATCTCGCTCGGGTGTCCTGAACCCCTTCAAACCTTGGGCAACCACAACAGAACCTTCAATAGGAGCCTTCGTCAAGCAACCACAAGGAAGACATCGGCAACCTGTTAGAAAAGCTTTAATAATAACGATCCCTGTATTCAGCCGTTTCACACAAAAGTTCTTACAAGAGTTTTTTTCCCCCCAGTGCATTGTTCTTCGACGCCAACATAAAGCTTTTCGAGGTAGTCCGACATCCTCCAGACATTTCTCCCCTGTGCGCAAGAAAAAAAGGGGACACCCAGGGTCCCAAGGTCACACAAACTGTCCTTCCAAGTTATTGATTTAAAGCTCCTTCTGATGACAACCGGTTTTTTCCCCCTAAAACAGGTTCTTCCTGGCCAAGAGGCCTTCAATGTAGGGCTCCCGTAAGAAAATGGGAGGGCAAAACACAAGCATCTTCTTCTTCTCTTGCAAATGATGACTTCTTTGGAAGCTTTTGAGGAATTCACATCTGAGAAAATCAGGGGAGGATGACTTTGGCAAGGCCGCACTGGTGGATTGCGAGACGCAAAGGCACAAGAGGGCAAAGTTGGTTTGGTGCAATTAAGGTGGCGTGGAAACTCGAGTTGTAGCAATTTTGCCAGTCCTGGTTTCTTTGAAGTTAAGGCTTCTCAGTGCAACCGACACACCTGGATAGGCTACAGATCTACTCAAACTGATCGTAAATTTGGTGGCGATACAAACAGTAATGTTGGATCATAAAGACGATGTCGAAGAAGATGGAGAAGAGGCCAAGACCAAATTTGGTGGGGTCTCCAAAAATCAGCTTCCATGCATCTGAAAAATAAGAGACAATGAGGGCTTACAAAAACCAGTGGGGTTGACTGACAAGAGACTAATAAATACTTGGAAAAGCATAAATAGATTTTTCCCGTTTATAATTCACAATGGAATGAATGTTTTTTGGTATTTTACTGAAGAATCTGTACAATTTTGTAAGGAAATTGTGCAGCTGGTGACCAAATGGAGTCTAAGACCCTGACATGAACTTGTAGTTTTATACAAATACTTGTATTTGACATTTTTGTATAGTCAGGCAAACAGGAGCATCAATAAAAATCTTCACAGCAGGAACATCCTGAGGTAAATCAACACAGCAGGAGCATCCTGAGGTAAATCAACACAGCAGGAGCATCCTGAGGTAAATCAACACAGCAGGAGCATCCTGAGGTAAATCAACACAGCAGGAGCATCCTGAGGTAAATCAACATAGCAGGAGCATCCTGAGGTAAATCACAGAGCAAACAGGGCACACAGAAGAAAAAGGTGGGGAAAAAGGGACACTCCCCCTCCAAACCCACAGCAACCAATCACAGCACAGATTGCCTCACGCAGGAGCCAGCACTCTCCAAACCATCAACCACAACTACGTGTTCTGGCTCACTGCACAACCTCATTGCTCCAGCTACCAAATTTAAATATCTTAACAAATTTCTACTGCTTCTCTGTAGAATTTACAAGCATCACCAAACAAGTACAGATTGTCCGCACCTTACAATGGCAATTGAGAACATAATTTTCATTGTTAAGCAAGGCAGTTAGTTGTTAAATTACAATGACACTGAAAAAAGTGACCTATAAGTGGAACTCGTAGTTTTAAAAAATAAATATATTTTGCATCTATATACAGCAAACCAGATAGTCAGGCAAACAAGGGCATGAGGTAAATTGACACAGGAGGAGTATCCTGAGGTAAATCCACAAAGCAGGAGCATCCTGAGTTAAATCAACACAGCAGGAGTGATCCAAATTTGGTGGTTGCAGTGTCACGCGATCACCATTTGCAACCTTTCCATCTAGCTTCTAACAAACAAAGTCAATGGGGCAAGCCAGATTCACTTAACATGATTCACTTAACAACTGCAGTGATTTGCTTAGCAACGGTGGGAAAAATGGTTGTAAATTTGGCCATGCCTTGCTTAGTAATTTCTGGTCCTGACTGTGATCATAAGTTAATGCATTATCTTTGCAGTGAATAGGGATTTTAGCGAGCTCTTGATGGGCGCATACACGTAATCCTCAGCTTACAACAGTTCATTTAATGACCGTTCAAAGTTACAATGGCACTGAAAAAAAGGGATTTATGACAGTTTTTCAGAGTTATGACTTTTGCAGCATCCCCATGATGTCACGTGATCAAAATTCAGATTGTTAGGAATGTAAGTCATCTAACAGCTGTATGGGTTGGACAATATATAAACCAGGATAGACATTTTAAAAATGTATCTTTAAGAGAATCCTAAAAGTGTAATTGGGTGTGGTTTCTCAAACGGCCATAAGATGGAGCCAGAAACCTGGGTTGTTTCTTCTTAGTCTCAGAAGAGAGTGTGAGTGTATCTCTGTTTCCTTCTGTTGGAGAGTATTGCCATTTTTCCTAATTGACTGATATTTCTGGATTTGATGTAAGTCTGTTACTGAACTGTTTTTGACACTGGACTTTGTTATTGAATTATCCCTGGACTAAAAACTGACTGATTTACCTGTGAATGACTTTGGATTGCTTGTTTGGACTTTGCTTAACCTTTCTGGGAGTAAAAACCAACATTTCCTGTACAGTGTATCTGTGTGCTGTGTGTGTGTATTATTCAAACACTACTCTCAAATACGTCTCCCTGTATGCGCTCATTCTCCTAACGGGGAATTACCTCAACACAGTTGCTTAGTAATTGGTTCATATTTATGATGGTTGCAGTGTCCCGGGGTCACGTGATCCCTTTCTGTGACCTTCTGAAAAGCAAAGTCCCTGGGTTTGATTCACTTAACAAACCTGTGACTCATTTTAACAACTGTAGCGATTCACTTAACAACTGTGGCAAAAAAAAAAGATGGTCAAATGAGCCAAAACTCAATAATAAAACTTTTGGCCTTAGTTGTGGTCGTACTAGCCCTGCAAAGTCCAGGTAAGTCCTCAATTTAAAACTGTTCACGGCCGTTCAAAGTTACAACTGCTCTGAAAATATCATCATGAGCAGTTTTCTCGCCATGGTCACGTGATCAAAATTCAAACAATTGGCAACTGGCTCGTACTTATGACGGTCGCAGTGTCCCAGGGTCACGTGATCCCATTTTGCGACCTTCGGACAAGCCCAGTCAACGGAGGAAGCCGGACTCACTGAAAAACCGCATTACTAGCTTAAACAACAGCCGTGATTCACTTAAAAAATGGTTGTGATTAAGAATGTTGGGCTCAATGATGGGCATAAATCGAGGACTGGCTGTATGCCCCCTTCTCTCTGCCTGACCCAACGAGCTGCTCTTACCATTGTTGTAGGATTGTAGAAACATCTGCATGAGACTGAAGGCACCGCCGGTGAAGTCCAGCAGGACGTTGCCGATGCTCCAGCCCTGAGTGCTCTTCCGGCGAAAGTTTAGGTAGGCCTATGAGGAGACCAGGATGTCAGGTAAGTAGGAAAAGAACACCTCTTCCATAACCAGGACCTCAGACAAGTCAGCCTCTTGTCCTCTTCAATGGCGCACAATGCGTCAGAGAGAAAAGAGCTACATCCTCCACTTACGACCAGAAAAAGTCCAGAGAAGAGCAACCAAGATGGTTAGGGGACTGGAGGCTAAAACATGCGATCAACGGTTGCAGGAACTGGGCTTGGCTAATCTAGGGAAGAGAAGGACCAGGGGAGACAGAATAGCATCTGCCAATATTTGAGGGGCTGCCCCAGAGAGGAGGAGGGGGTCAAGCTATTCTCCAAAGCAACCGAAGGCCAGACAAGGAACAATGGATGGAAACTGACCAAGGAGAGAGATTCAACCTGGAAATAAGGAGGAATTTTCTGACCGTGAGAAACAATCAACCAACGGAACAGAAGTTGCCTTCAGAAGTTGTGGGAGTTTTATCCCTGGAGGCTTTCAAGAAGAGACTGGACTGCCTTCTGTCAGAAATGGTGTAGGGTCTCTTGCTTGGGTGGGGGGGTTGGACTAGATGACCTGCAACTCTGATTATCTGTTATCTGACCACAATTGAGCTCAACATTTCCATTGTTAAGCGAGACGGTTGCTGAGTGAGTTTTGCCTCGTTTTACCATAGTTCTTGCCACCATTGTTAAGTGAATGACTACAGTTGTTAGATTAGCATTAGCTCTTCCTTCCTTCCTTCCTTCCTTCCTTCCTTCCTTCCTTCCTTCTTCCACCCATCCTTCCTTCCTACCTTCCTTCCTATTTTTCCTTCCTTCCTTCCTATTTTTCCTTCCTATTTTTCCTTCCTTCCTTCCTTCCTTCCTTCCTTCCTTCCTTCCTTCCT